ATAACTCCAATTTATGTGTGCAGAAGAAATTCGTAACCCCCCTATCCCATCTTTTTCCAGTTATAACTTAACAAGCGACTTTTATTTTATTTTGTTATTAATAGCCCTGTTTTCACATATAGTAATCGTTTGTAATTTTCCGCCTCTCCCCGTTTGTATCCTTCACCATGTAATTAGTTACACATTTCTTATTACATAATGATGTCCCGACCGTTATTGCTACCTTGACGTGGTGCTCGAGCTTGCCTATCGTGATGAAGCAACCGAGCTATACTGGCTGGAACAACCGTTCCTCAAGGTCCTACCATGTCAGACAGGTCGGTTGAAGAGCGGTAAGACTAAAAGCAATAAACCCAAGGTCCGAAGGCGAAGTCGTACTGCTGACTGTACAGAGGTGTGGCAGCAGTTAGGTTTTTCCCTCAGACAACCAGCATGACAGCGATGCTGCCTTCTCACAAGGAGAGGTGGGGTTAAAAAGGGTGGACCCTAAAAATGCACACCTCGCCTTATCCCACGGATATCCGTCTCCGGCGGTAAGGTCCCAACGAGTACGGAGCTAACACGAAAACTACTCGCAAAACGTTAGTGTGTGGCCAACCTCAAGCAGTTGTCCCTTGAGCACTGGTATCAATCACTCAGGTCACTAAGATCACCCCTAACCCAATTTCTTTTTCCGGCACCTCCAGAAGAACCCTTCCACGGTATGGGCAACCGGGAAGTGATAACCGCTCTCATACCTCTAACATCACTCAAGACCACTGTATTCATAATCAACCACCGTCTTCACTTTCCATTATTCCTCCTACATCGACTTTCACCTCTTAACTTCCTTTTTGGCTTCCCCCTCAAATGTCACCATAGCCAACGATTCTAGTCCTCAAAACGCTGTCCCAGGTCGACTGAAACATCGCTTCAAACTACACATTGAAGCCTTCAATGTACGAATCTCATGTCAAATCGGTCAACAGGCTTCCTTGGCTAGAACCCTAGAATCTCGTACCATTGATGTATGCTGTGTCTCTGAAACACGCATACAGGATTCCAGTATGGTCATTCACTTGACCTCCCCTCTACAAAACAGAGAGCCAACGAGATACACCCTCCGTGTATCTGGTGACCCGACGGCCAGTTTTCGTGGACTGGCAGGAGTAGGGATAGCACTAAGCATGAGGGCCGAACAAGCACTGTTAGAGTGGATCCGCGTTAACAGTCGTTTATGTGCTGTTCGGCTAAACGGCTCCGTAAGAACTTGGGAGGATAGGGACACATGTCGTTGCCTTTTTGTCGTTTCTGCCTACGCTCCTATTGACTACAGCTCAGAAGATGTGAAAGATGAATTTTACAGAAAGCTTTGTGAACTTCTTCAGAAAGCTAAACGTTCAGACATAGTATTTGTAGGTAGTTCAAACCAAGCGGAAAGGCATTTAGATGGGTATTTTAGTATATCGGCACAGCGAACAGATAATGGTGATCGTCTGCTGCAACTATGCTCAGACAATCGTTTATTTTTAGCAAACACAAATTTTAAGCATAAGGAGAGACATCGTCTCACATGGCGTGCCAGGAACAATTGAAATCACGATTAGGTAGTTCTGAAAACGAGGTTGACACAGTTGTTGCTTGGAAAGACATACAAACAGCTGTGAAAACAGCAGTGACATCTATTAGAGACTTGAACCACAGAGTTACGAAGAACCAGTGGATTTCTTCAAGGTCTATCACACTGATGGGTTCTCGCAAACACGTCCCATCAGGTTCTGAACATGATGAAGAGCGTAAAGAAATCAGATCTAGGTTAAGAAAAAGTTTAAAGTACGACCGTGAGCAGTAGTGGGTAACGAAAGCAAAAGAGATGGAAAAGGCGGCGACTATAGGGAACACAAGACAGCTTTACAGACTAATAAAAGAAACTGGAATTGATAAGTCACGTGTAAGTCAGACTATTTCGGAAAAAGATGATACTCTCATCTGCTCTCAGTCCAGACGTTTAGAACGATGGCCAGAACATTTCAGAGAACAGTTCAGCTGGCCTTCAGCTACTCTACAACTAACCTCCATTCCCAGACAGTGTGAATGGAACATTGAAGTAGGTCCCCCAACTCTAGCAGAATTTCAAAAGGCTATAGCTAATCTGAAACGAGGAAGGGCAGCTGGTCCAGATGAATTGGTTCCAGTAGTCTTTAAGGATGGTGGTCCAATTTTAGCGATTAGGTTGACTAATATTTTGGCTAAGATCTGTGAGTTAGACGTTATTCCATCTGACTGGTCACAATCACTTATCGTCTCAATATATAAGAAAGGGTCAAAATCATCCTGTGACAACCATAGAGGGATTAGTTTAACTAATATATTATCTAAAGTACTATCCACGATAGTTATTAGACGACCATCAAGGCTGTCCACTTTCTACATTTTTGTTTAACTTCATCATAGACCTATTGATGGAAATAACATTCTCGTTTACTGAATGTTCGGGTATTGATCTCCTTCCAGGAGGTCCAATTATCGACTTAGAATACGCAGATGATATAGTCCTGTTTGGTGAAGACGCTGACAAAATGCAGAGTCTTTTGGCAGCACTAAGCAACAATGCCAGAATGTTTGGAATGCGCTTCTCTCCCTCGAAATGCAAGCTGCTGCTTCGGGACTGGTCTGCGTCAACACCTGAACTAAGAATAGGGAGTGAAGTAGTCGAACGCGTTGACAACTTCACTTATCTTGGAAGTCTGATCAGCCCTAATGGGTTGGTGTCTGACGAAATCTCAGCACGGATTCGAAAAGCTCGTTTGGCTTTTGCCAACTTACGCCACCTATGGCGAAGGTGAGATATCCGTCTATCAATAAAAGGACGAGTATACTGCACGGCAGTCCGTTCTGTCTTACTTTACGGCAGCGAAACATGGCCTTTAAGAGTAGAAGACACCCGTAAGCTACTAGTATTTGACCACAGATGCCTTAGAAATATTGCTGGCATCTGCTGGGATCACCGGGTAAGTAATAGTGAGGTTAGACGCAGGGTATTAGGGAATGATGGTAAATCAGTTGATGAGGTTGTTAATCTTCATCGACTGAGATGGTTGGGCCACGTGTTACGTATGCCTGAACACCGATTACCACGTCGTACAATGCTAACCGGTGTTAGAGATGGTTGGAAGAGAATTAGGGGCGGCCAAACCAAAACGTGGCATCAGTGTTTGAAGTCACTCATGTCTAATCTGAGCCATGTTGGTAGATGCAGACTACTTGGTTGGGGTCCGTGTGACTTTCGTAACCAATGGTTGGAGACTCTTGTTGACGTGGATCAGAAACGATCACATTGACGTCGGTGCATACACTCTCTATCTTCCCTTAAACTAAGAGATTAAAATTGCTTCATATCTTTCTTTCTACGAACTAATTCTTTCTTCCCGTACTATATCCTTATTGCAATCTTTCTTTTATATATTACCACCTCTGAATTAACTACTTTTATGAATCCGGTGTCCATCTTGTTGTGTTAATGAGGTATGGCAACTTGGACCGATGCATATATGTGCCTGGTCCTACGTTGTAGCTGACTGACTGACTGACATAATGATGTTAATGTTTTGTGATTACTATTCCAAGTCTATTTACCCACGTTTGTTTGACCTTCTATTTCCAATGTTTAACTATTGATAAGACTTTTGTTATCATATTTTATTATTCTGACGACTTACTATCAGTACACTTGTCTTCCCTATTACCGACTTGTAATTTTACTCATTATGTGTAGACTTATTCTATTTCATTGTGATTATTGACCCATATTGCCTTGATTGGTTTAACATTTTCGTATAAATAATCATGAATATTAGAGGAAACAATATTGTTCGATTATATGTGTTCTTCTAGTTTTCACAATGGGAATCTTTAATATTCTAATATCTATTTTGTAATGATAAATAAAATAAGAACATATTTTAATGGATATGGTAGTGCAATGAACGACTCTCAGATAAATTTAAAGAAGGTAAGAAAAAGCTTCATTTCAGTAGTGAGTATTGAACAACAGATGAATCTCAATTTTGATTCATAGATCGGCCATTAATTATAATCTTACGATTGATACTTGAAACCTTCAGATGCTCTGTTACAGCAGAGAAGTAGAGAGAGTACACTCTCCCTCTTCAAATGCTCTCACATAGACACGAGTATATTGGCTCTCACACGGAAGTCATACTCACTGTATTCTCGCACCACGGAGTATTGTTTACCAAATTGAGAGGACAGAAAACGAGTGCCCAGCACTTTAATCGGGTTGGTGGACACGAACAGTTTACCAAGGGGAGTTGGAAAACCCTCACTTCAAACCAATCGTGCACATGGTCTCCCGTATCCTGAGGGAACAAATGGCGTATGAACCAATCGTTGATCACCAGCTACCATGAGACTGCATCTCCTTACCATACTCCACTGCCTTGTGAATCAGACCTTTAGGTCGAATGCTCCGAGTTTGGCCCCCTATGTAAACCACCTTCTTCGGTTTGTGCAGCCGAGCAGTATCACAACCCTCACACAAATCAAATGAGATTTATGTAGAGCATATATATCTGGTGCACCATTGTGCCAGTATTTATTTGTTCAAATAAATAATAATAAATAAATCTTGCCTGTAATGGTTTTAAGTTGGCTATTTTTATTGTATACCATTTCATCATTTGTCATCACATGAAATTATTAAACAATCAATCAATATGAATTCATCCTTCATAATTATGAATAAAACTGAATGATTCGCTTTATTTGTTCATATTAGAATAGAATTTGTTCAGTCAACCAAACCACACTATTGATTCATGACCTATGATCAATAGAATGAAAATTGTTTTCATTCTATTTCATGTAACTAATCAGTTAGATAACTGGTTCAATTGGCAAACTAACGAATAGTTTGATATGACTGATTGAACCAATTACCATGTCGTACGGAATAAATCAGATATATATATATATATATATATATATATATATATATATACGAGTGTGTGTTCACAGTTTAGCTAACTGGGTGATTCAAGTAGAATGTAAGTGTTGTAAATGTGAATTATGTTTGACTTTACATTGAAAATGCATAACATTGAATTGTATTTGAATAAGAATATTTGTATTGAAGGTGTCTACTAAAGTCTATTTTACAGTTGCATTTTGTGTAGAATCATCAAAAACGTATTCAGATTGCAATGAGTCTATAATTTTGTATGATTATTCTCATTCATTACAGACTGAGATGTTTATGAATGTTCAAAAAGTATAGGATTTTATGTGTTTTTTTGTGTGTTCACGGTGTAGTAGTTGATGTAGGTTCAGTGATGTTGTCATCATTCGACGATTATTTAATTACATATTGTATCCGAAGCAGGTTTTATTTCGATTTAAGGGTACACCAAATACATATGCTCTATATAAATCTCATTTGATTTGTAAGAGTGTTGTGATACTGCCCGGGTGCACAAACCGAAGAAGGTGGTTTACATAGGGGGCCAAACTCGGAGCATTCGACCTAAAGGTCTGATTCACAAGGCAGTGGAGTATGGTAAGGAGATGCAGTCTCATGGTAGCTGGTGATCAACGATTGGTTCATACGCCATTTGTTCCCTCAGGATACTGGAGACCATGTGCACGATTGGTTTGAAGTGAGGGTTTTCTAACTCCCTTAGGTGAACTGTTCGTGTCCACCAACCTGATTAAAGTGCCGGGCACTCGTTTTCTGTCCTCTCAATTTGGTAAACAATACTCCGTGGTGCGAGAATGCAGTGAGTATGACTTCCGTGTGAGAGCCAATATACTCGTGTCTATGTGAGAGCATTTGAAGAGGGAGAGTGTACTCTCCCTACTTCTCTGCCGTACCAGAGCATTTGAGGGAATCGTTTGTTTGTAATCATCATATCGACGAGCATCAATCATGGAGATTCAATGCGATTTCTTTTAGAACGTTATTGGTTGTAATGAATTCAATAAAATGAGTGTCCAACAACTGGTTCTAACTTACGATAAACATTCAAAGTCCTTGTTGACAGAGAATGAAATTCCTGTTTGTTTGTTTTAACTTATCTCTCATTCAATGGTTTCACTTTTGGTTTTACATTGACTACGATAGTTGAGAAATATACTTAGGAATCATTTGGAAAGTTCAATGTGGCGTTAAAGTTATCGAAGAAATATCAATCGATATGTTATTAATTGACTATTTAACATTTTCATGCCGACAAATAAAATACCATGTAGTACTTATAAGACCATGGATTGCTGGTTTTCCGTACAAAACATAAACTATAAATTTCGATAATGCAATGAGAAGACGTAGTTTATCAGAATTATGTGATAAAGTATAAAGCTTATAGTCTTTGCCTATCGTATAAAAGGTCACTAAATACGTCAATTAAACAGCGTCATAATAAGTGATTTTAATTTTATAATACTGACATCATTATTATGTACCCTTTTATTACTCGTTAAGTTGGCACAAAATCTCAAGTTTGTATCGTATTTTACTAATGTAATTTGACCAACCACTGTTTATCCAATCCTGAGACTACCTCATAAATCTTTGTTCCTCCCACCACTTCCCTCAACTCATAATTTTACACTGTCTTATAGTCAGTTGGAAGAAGTGCCGTCTGAGAATGCTGGCTCTCTGAATATTTGTTCATTATTTCGACAATATAAAGATCACAGCTAGATGAACTGTGTGTGTGTCGACATGGTCTTGACATGATTACACTTTTCTTTCTAGTATTTGAATTTTCAATATATAAACGATGTTTTAACTCATCTATTTCACTCAAATATGGAACACAATAATTTCGGTTGAAATGGTCGACGTCTTCGATTAACTGAGATATTAACTCTGGTTGATTAAAATCTGTGATTCCTAAATTGCATCCGCTGAATATGTGGATTGATCAGATATTTGTATTTTCAACGTTACCACTAGAATTAGTCAACGGTACTTGATACACGTTACAAAAGTTCACATATTGTAACATAGATATTTACTTAGTTGTTTATTCGCTTATGTATAATGATACATACCTCAGTAAAAGTTGATAGATGAAAATACACACCATTTATTGTGTAATAAGCTATGCCTACATACACTTCATATGTTTATGCACTTCAATTGACTAATTAATTCTTTCTTTGTCAGCATGTAGCCTTTATTGTTCGTTTATAGGTATCCCATTTTAACGATAGTTTTGGAAGTGTTCATTCTCACTGCCTCATGTGTATTGTGTTTGGATAATGGAATGGCAACACTACCACCAATGGGTTGGATGACATGGCAACGATTTCGATGTCAAATTGATTGTCACAACTACGCAGATGATTGTATTAGTGAAAAGTTGATTAAACGTACTGCTAACAGACTAGTATTAGATGGTTGGAGAGATTTAGGTTATCGTTATGTAATAATAGATGATTGTTGGCCAGAACGGAAACGGGATTCGAAGACAAACGAAATAGTTGCAGATTATAAACGATTTCCGAATGTGAGTTGTTATTTATTATCTTTCGTATGTGGTGCATAATTCGTGTTTTTTCGTTTGAATATCAAAGTTTGGTTACTATTTCCATTTGGATTGGTTCACAATTTGATAATCTGTGTGATATGTTTCGTTTGTAGGGCATTAAAAGTGTTGGACATTACTTACATTCTAAACATCTACTATTTGGCATATATCTCGATTATGGAACTCAAACATGTGAAGGTTATCCAGGAAGTATGAATTATTTGGAGGTGGATGCCGATAGTGTGGCTAAATGGGAAGCAGATTATGTAAAGATGGATGGATGTAACAGTCCGCAAAAAAGTATGCCAGAGGGCTATGGAAAGTTTTCCAAATTATTGAATGCAACTGGCAGACCAATAGTGTTCTCATGCAGTTATCCTGCTTATATTCCTTGGATGAAAAATACTAGTTTGATTGACTGGAAGAGACTGATAAACAATTGTAACTTGTGGCGTATGCTGGGCGACGTTCAAGATAGTTGGTCATCGGTTATTAGTATTATAAACGCATATAAACTCCAAAATGATGTGTTACCGAAGTTGGCTGGTCCAGGACATTGGAATGATCCTGATATGTTGTTGATGGGAAACTTCGGTCTTTCAGATGATCAGAAACGAGTTCAAATGGGTATGTGGTGTATGTTTGCTGCTCCACTATTGATCTCAGCTGACATGGAAAAGTTAGATAATTTCAGTGTATCTCTGTTACGTAATGCACGTTTATTGGCTATAGATCAGGATAAAGGTGGACATCAGGCGGAATTCATCAGATCACGAAATGATGTACAGGTGAGTTTATCATACTATTGTACTAATAAATTTCAACAATGTGGTGTATCAGTGTGAAATTGTGGAATACATTTTCGTGCTTGTTCGGACATATCAGTAAAATAAGACTGTGGTATTCTTTTTTGAAGTGACAATCCTCCAGAGATTTAAACAAACTTTTAAAAATGTGGCTGTTAGAGTATTTATCTGAAACAGAGATGGATCATGCGTAAAAGTGGGATCCAGAACGCGCGTCTTGATATATTTGGGACTCGTCAGCCGGGTGTCCCTGTATCACAGTTTGATGTTCGTCAATTCATTGGAACACAGTACTTCAGACGTTTTCCCGTTTTTCGTTACGTTACTGAGTCCAGATAGCCACTGGCTTGTGCAGTCGGATGATTTTTATTGTATCTCATATATATATATATATATATATATATATATATATATATATATATATATATATATATACAGATATTCAAATCTTTCGTTTGGTACTGAGGACTGAGAGGACATGTATAACGAGTGGTAATGGGTTGGAGTCCCACATTGACTGGCAAAATTTGAATGCAGGTAACTTCAACTGACAAGATCCGAATTGGATGAAGCTCGAGTCCCCGACTTCAGTATCACCCGCCATACACCTCTGTTTACAAAGCTTACAACTTACTGGCAACTTTGAGGTAATTCACACAGAATAAACATAGCAAAACAGACTGATTAAATGTAGTCGTAAACATCAATGCCACTGCATAACACAGGATGACTTTGTTCTAATCAATCATAACTAGACGACATCGAAATCACTTGATTGTGATCTCTACTTAATCAGACGAGCAGTCATGTCACAACTAGATCAACGGGTTTTAATTCACAGTAAGACAATAGACAAAGTGATGTGAGTTCCAACCACTTCGTAAAGTAGTGGATGCAGTTTCCAAGGAGTTGACTCTCGATAACAAATGATCGAAATCCATGTTGATATGCCATTAACGACTGCGTATCAAATTTGAAAGTGAGCAATTGTTTCAAACTATTATACACATTTCTAAATGACACAGTTCTTATCATTCTTGAGCATTGTCTTGCGTTTCATTTCATGTCCTCCTCAAATGTTATGAGGTGAAGTGGTGGGACTTTTCTTAAATGCATTACGTGAACAAAACTTTTCCGTTTGTTTGATTGCTTCTCCCATATAGATGTGGATGAGACAATTAGATGGAGATCCAATTGGTTGGGCAATCGCTTTTCTTTACACAACTGATGGTGGTGGACCGATTCACTTTTACACAAGTCTTGGTGAATTCAAATCACGATCGTATAGGATATCTGGAGATCAGTTTGAATTATTGGATGTGTTCAATGGTGATAAATTTAAAGTGATTCAACGAAGAGAGAAGTTTATGATTTCCATCAATCCAAATGGGATAATGATGTATCGAGTTAAACGTGTTCAACTAGAGACTGTTTCTGAAGAAATTGATGGACCGTTTCAGACATTTTTATCGCCTTAAGAAATCCACTTCATTACTTCAATATCATATAAACTGAACAGTTCTTGATTGAGATAACTATTTCAATACATAGTGCTCTAGAAATCTATCCATTCGGTCACTTATCTCATTAGTGTGATGTGATTTTATTTCGGTTGAAGCACTTGCTACGACGCAAAATACTATCGATATTTTAGTAATGTTGTGAAGTAATCGCTGAAATTATTGGGAGTAGTCAGTGACGCACGGATTGATTGACTGATCTTACATGAATGAAAATGATAATGAGCCAGTAGTATATGAATGAACGAAAACCTGATGTTATATTCGGTGAGTAGTGAAGTCAATGAGACCACTATTGATAAACGTATTCTTGCTCATCTCATCAAGTGTTATTTTGTTCATGACTTTTTTTTGTTTTTAAGTTTATTCAGACGTGAGGTAATGCTCCATGTCGATCTCTCCTTTAAGATGTTAAGGAATACTAGGTGACTGGATTTCAGTCAATATTATACCTCAGTGTATTCTGTCTACTGTTTTAGTTACATAGAGTGAATATATATTGAGTTGTATGGTTAGTTACATTGAGAACACATGACTTTGTAGCACAAATTTGAAGAGCTGTTCAACATAAATTTGTGTTGTGAAAAGAATCCATGTAGCGTCACCTTATTTTAAACAGAGGTTAAATCATATGTGTTGATTTGGACTCTTCTTAGTGTTGGTCATAGTCGGTATTCGTAACCGCTTATTTATATATCGGTTGTGAAATGATCGGACGTGAAAAAAACTTTCATTAACTCGAATGTTTCTTCGAGACTATCTTGACAAGAAATTCTGATTGTATTTTGAAATTACTGCATTGGCACAAACAAAACTGACTTCATCTTGTTTTCAACAATTATCAGTGGTGACCAACTTTGTTTGCCCAATCAGTAAATAAATGTAGTGAATGTTGAACTGAGGTGAATGAAATATGTGGTTTCGTGGGTTATTGTTGCTATCTACGTCACAGAAGTGTCATTTCACTCACACAAAACACTTTAGCTGTTGTAAGTCGTTAGTGAAGTTAAGCAGAAGAGCGATAGTTTCACTAAATATACTTTGGAGTAACATAGGCACTGTTTAAGTGTTTAACTCAATTTTACGAAGAATATAAGTAATTACATCATCATAGTTATCATTAACATGTAAAGGTATCATTGTTTTATTTAGTCATTAATGGAATATTTCAGTTAAACGCATAGAGATGGGATAGTAAGTCGAGTTCAGAACTCAGTTAACTCGTAAAAGCGTTTGTCAGATGATGGGATAAACGGTTTTCGAATTGTACATCTCTATCTGTTATAGTATAATAAGAGTGATAAGTCAATACTTGACGATATTCGTGGAGATCAGTTTCAGGTGAACATCAACTAGGCATCTGTTTAAGTAGTCTATGTCTGTGAAATGTTTGTCAAAACTGAGTCACTAAACAACCTAACCGATGCATGCATTTCATATGTATATTTTCATAATCTGTCATCATATGGTTTTAAGTCCGAACATTAAAGACCGCTTTGTATACACATCATACTTTCCGATCACGAATTTATCAAGCTGGACGCTTTTGATCTGTACAGATGAATTCATGGTAGGTTGATAACTCTTAAAACATTCATGTGTTCTTGTAAATGTTATAAACTGCATGAAATCTATGTTGTCAGTATGTAGAGAATTCATGAGTACCACAAATATTTTCAACGACGTGAGATGTTCATGAATCTTGAAAGAGTTCCTTATGAAGGTTGGTACTTATCGTTTTGCTAGTAACTTTTTGACATCATAAAAGTCGTGCACTTCATAAATGAATCAGCTTTCACAGAATGGTGGACTGGAGGTAGACTTATAACAGAGATTATATCTGATGTAAATGCGAAGATCAGCATGTTTCCAAAACGACTGATTTCGTGTATTCAGTTACTGGAGTTTTCATAGATAGCAGGAATATGTTCTGCATATGATTTTTTAAATAAAAACGTATCCTTAAAGCTCTTTTAAAATAATCGATGTGTACATCAGTCCCAACTCCGCCTGGAGTCCCTCCGGGGGCTACTGCCGGTCCCAAGCCCGGATAAAGGAGGAGGGTTGGGCATGGGGTTAGCGTCCCCATCCCGTAGAAAACTAACTCGCTAAAAAAACGCTAACCAGAAAAAATTATTCAAACCTTTTAAACTCTGCCCTGGGAGTCAGAAGGTCTTCATTTAGAAGAATTATGACGCCTCATGATGAAAGCCGAATTCCTTCGGAAGTTACGAGGCCGATGCCCCTTCTGACAACCAGAGCGACCATTTATTTAGGTACATGGAATGTTCGTACAATGTGGGACACCGGAAGAGCCTTCCAAATTGCTGCAGAAATGAGAAGATACAACCTAGAGGTACTTGGGATCAGTGAAACACATTGGACACAAGTTGGACAACAACGACTAACTACAGGAGAGCTCCTGTTATACTCCGGCCATGAAGAAGAAAATGCACCACATACACAAGGAGTTGCATTGATGCTGTCCAAACAAGCGCAAAATGCGCTTATAGGATGGGAATCTCATGGACCAAGGATCATCAAAGCCTCGTTCAAAACAAAGAAAGAGGGCATTTCAATGAACATCATCCAATGCTATGCGCCTACCAACGACTACAATGAAGACGCTAAAGATCAATTCTACAATAGGCTGCAGTCAATCGTCGAGAAGTGCCCAACAAAGGACCTGACCATTCTGATGGGAGATTTCAACGCCAAGGTTGGAACGGACAACACTGGATATGAAGACATCATGGGACGACACGGACTGGGAGAAAGAAACGAAAATGGTGAGAGATTTGCAAATCTATGTGCCTTCAATAAGCTGGTCATAGGCGGCACCATATTCCCACATAAACGCATACACAAAACCACATGGACTTCACCGGATCACTCTACACAAAACCAAATCGACCATATTTGCATCAACAAAACGTTCAGGAGGACTATAGAGGACGTGAGAACCAAGAGAGGAGCTGATATAGCATCAGATCATCACTTGCTGGTCGCCAAGATGAAATTGAAACTCAAGAAGCACTGGACAACGGGGCGGACAATATCACAAAAGTTCAATACGGCCTTTCTTCAGGATACTAACAAACTCAACAAATTCAAGATAGTCCTCAGCAACAAGTTCCAGGCCTTTCATGATCTACTCAATGGAGAAGGAACTACTGTGGAGAGCAACTGGAAGGGGATCAAAGAGGCAATCACTTCAACATGTCATGAGGTCCTGGGTCACAAGAAGCACCACCACAAGGAATGGATCACTGTTGATACACTGGATAAGATTCAAGAAAGAAGGAACAAGAAGGCAGCAATCAATACCAGTCGAACAAGAGCAGAAAAAGCCAAGGCACAAGCTGAATACACGGAAATAAACAAACAAGTGAAGAGGAGCATCAGAACCGACAAACGTAAATATGTGGAAGATTTAGCAACGACGGCGGAAAAGGCTGCAAGAGAAGGAAACATGAGACAATTGTATGACACGACAAAGAAACTCTCTGGAAATCGCCGCAAACCAGAACGACCAGTGAAAAGCAAGGAAGGCGAGGTAATCACCAACATTGAAGAGCAACAAAACAGGTGGGTAGAACACTTCAAAGAACTCTTGAATCGACCAGCTCCACTGAACCCACCCAACATCGAAGCAGCACCCACGGACCTCCCAATCAATGTTGGCCCACCAACAATTGAAGAAATCAGCATGGCCATCAGACAAATCAAGAGTGGCAAAGCAGCAGGACCGGACAACATTCCAGCAGAGGCACTAAAAGCAGACGTAGCGGCAACTGCAAGGATACTCCACATTCTCTTCAATAAGATTTGGGATGAGGAACAAGTACCAACAGACTGGAAAGAAGGACTTCTGATCAAAATACCGAAGAAAGGCGATCTCAGCAAGTGTGATAACTACAGGGGCATCACTCTTCTCTCAATACCGGGAAAAGTCTTCAACAGGGTATTGTTAAACAGGATGAAGGACTGCGTAGACGCCCAACTTCGTGACCAACAGGCAGGATTCCGTAAGGATAGATCGTGTACAGACCAAATCGCAACTCTACGGATCATTGTGGAACAATCAATTGAATGGAATTCATCACTCTACATCAACTTCATTGACTACGAAAAGGCATTTGATAGCGTGGACAGAACAACACTATGGAAACTTCTTCGACACTACGGCGTGCCTCAGAAGATAGTCAATATCATACAGAACTCATATGATGGATTACACTGCAAAATCGTGCATGGAGGACAGTTGACAAAGTCGTTCGAAGTGAAGACCGGTGTTAGGCAAGGTTGCTTACTCTCACCCTTTCTCTTTCTCCTGGTGATCGACTGGATCATGAAGACGTCAACGTCTGAAGGGAAGCGCGGGATACAATGGACATCTAAGATGCAGTTGGATGATCTAGACTTCGCAGACGATCTGGCCCTTCTATCCCAAACGCAACAACAGATGCAGGAGAAGACGAACAGTGTGGCAGCAGCCTCAGCAGCAGTAGGTCTCAATATACACAAAGGGAAAAGCAGGATTCTCCGATACAACACAGAATGCACCAATCCAATCACAATTGACGGAGAAGATTTGGAAGATGTAAAAACCTTTACGTATTTGGGCAGCATCATTGATGAACAGGGTGGATCTGATGCAGATGTGAAGGCGCGGATCGGCAAAGCAAGAGCAGCATATTTACAACTGAGGAACATCTGGAACTCAAAGCAACTGTCAACCAACACCAAGGTCAGGATTTTCAATACAAATGTCAAGACAGTTCTACTGTATGGGGCAGAAACCTGGAGAACTACGAAAGCCATCATCCAGAAAATACAGGTGTTTATTAACAGTTGTCTACGCAAAATACTTCAGATCCATTGGCCGGACACTATTAGCAACAACGTACTGTGGGAGAGAACAAACCAGATCCCAGCGGAGGAAGAAATCAGGAAGAAGCGCTGGAAGTGGATAGGACACACATTGAGGAAAGCACCCAACTGCGTCACAAGACAAGCCCTCACATGGAATCCTGAAGGTCAAAGGAAAAGAGGAAGACCAAAGAACACATTACGCCGAGAAATGGAGATAGACATGAGAAAAATGAACAAGAATTGGATGGAACTAGAAAAGAAGGCCCAGGACAGAGTGGGTTGGAGAATGCTGGTCAGCGGCCTATGCTCCATTGGGAGTAACAGGCGTAAGTAAGTAAAGTAAGTACATCAGTTCCTATTTATATTTTCACTTATATGAATTTTCATCTAGAGTATGTGGATATCCTTAACATGCATTGCAACTAATCAACATATTGACACTAGAGTTTTAAATACGCATATCCGATGTTTTCATTTGGAGATACATTCAGTGCATTCCGGTTGAAACAGAAACTGAGATGTTTGATTTAGATAGAAAATGCCAATATGTGTTATGCTGACTGCTTTACACCGTTGTTTGATAACCAAATGTTAATATGAAGATAATGATCAGATAGGCAGTCAATTCTTTAGCGTCTCATGTGATACGTATTACTGAATTATATGATCACGACTCTATTCTAGGTAGTGACTAGTATGTCAGGTTCGTAGACATCTATTTTTAAATGCATTATACAAAATATTTTACGTCGTATGCTTGAAGCATTCACATGGAGGTTAACCTGTCTAATTTTTATCATATAACTGTGTGCATCAGAAAATATTATTTCTCATTTCTTTTGACGATCATAAACGAGCGCAAATGGGTATGTGGTTTATGTCCGCTGCTGCACTACTGATCTCAGCTGACATGGTCATATTACATAATTTCAGTGTATCTCTGTTACGTAATGCACGTTTATTGGCCAGAAATCAAGATAAAGGTGGACATCAGGCAGAATTCGTCAGATCTCAAAATGATCTATATGGGAGCTACTTGCACTGTTATGTAGATTGGTTTCTAAATATTTGAAGTATTTTCTTCTTTTATTTGAACAGACATATCTACGGAAACTCATGGAAACCGTCATCATCAGCACGAGACTTTCCTATTTGATTTGTTTTAATGTCTTGGAGGAGTAGTGTCCAAGTAAATTACAGCACTTGCTACTTGTGGCGTATTCAAAATAAATTTTGATAAATCAGTTAATTGTGTTGGAATTCGTCTTCATTTGTGAAACTTATTAAACTTTTGGAATAAAACGACCGTTCAATTATAAATCCATCTTTCATTATTTTCGATTAACTAAAGTTTAAATTTTTTATTCTTTCCTGATTGTTAGGATGATAAAATGAAATGAAGTTATTGTTTCTGACCGGGATAGTATGTTTGGGTATGTCAATTGTGTTTACGTCGAAGTTTCTTTTAATACAGTTGTGAATACGAAACTTAGATAATGGTCTATTAGTTTGAGCAATCTTCACTATTAGCTTCATCCATTATTATGTTTTTGATACAATATAAAATTATCAGAACAAATTTTTTTCAACACGTTTCGTTCTCTTATTTGCTGACCGGTACTAACTGCAAATTTTGAATGATATTCACTAAACAGTTCGAAAATCGACATCTGAAAAACGTACATCTTTTCCGATGTTGTTGATTATACTTTTTGTAAGCAGACAGCGAAAGATTGTAAACGCTTCATAAAAACGTCTATAAGGGTTGTGCTTTTAATGGATATAATGATGTGTTTAAACAAACAAAAGTAAATTGGCTTGTTGAAACAACTGGATGTCAGACATACGTGCTGCGGACATTCAATTAGGTCTCTTTGCATTTTTCTACACAAAGGAAGGTGATGAACGCATTTAAATTCACACCAGCCTCAATGAATTTGAGTCACAGTGATATAAGACATCTGGACACTAATCCAAAATAATAGGTTATCTAGTAGTGTTCAGGTTAGAGACGTTGACTTATCACCGTGGTTCATGATTCTTATCTATCCATCTGGAATAATGATATGTCGAGTTAAACTGGTAGATATTTCGCGTTGCGCAGTACAGCAAGTTGTTGTTGGCGTTCGGCAACTTGGACTATGACAGACATTCTGAGATCCAATATTTAATACGGTGCACAATGAAATCAGTCTTTTACAAGAATGATCGGCAAACAACACCCATTTCAAAACAAATCATATTCGCGTGTCGTTTAGTCAATAAGAGCATAGGGTTCATCTAATGTTAAATAATAATACGTCCTAAATTAGTTATACGGATGGCTTAGCCTAAATGACGAGATCAATGTAGATCAAGCATTTTTGCTTACAGATCAAAACTACAAGGAAATATTCTTGCTTATTTTTATGAAACGCAAAACACTAGAGTATCAACTCCATAATTAGTAATAAAACTGAAAGGAATAGATCCAGTCCAAGTTCAAGGGAAGACGAGAAGTCTTTGGAAGTCAAGCCGAAGAAAACGATTCAGGCGAACCTTGGATATCCAAACCTGCTTATAACCACTAGTTCGTTAATAAGGTCGTTATGCTATCACAAGGTTAGTTTTGAATGTTACACAAGCTTGTAAGTATCAGAGAGTTTAACAGTCTTATTTGCCATAGTGCCAAACTCAATTTTTTTTACAATGAAAACGTTTCAACCTAGAAATTTTGCTCAAAGACATATATATCAGGTGTTACGGGAGAACTGAAGACTTTTGACGGATTAAAACCTTTTATTGTACATTAATAATTTACTGTGCTTTTGGATGTAATTGTTTTACTTAACTTTTGAACTTGTTTGTTTATATCATTATTTCGGACATTTTGGTTTGGTATTTTGGTGCTCCTTTTGTCTTTGGTTTGGTATTTGGGAGTTTTGCTCCGGGAACCTACAAAATTGAAGGTTTGTTTTGTAATTGTTATAATTATTGTTATTAGAACGACATTTGGTCGATTACTTGTGAATTACGAATAAACTTGGTACCTGATTTGGAGTTTTGGTTCTTTTGCCTACTTGGGTTCGTAATTTGCAAGTAGATCGATAGTCCGTACTTCAATAACTGGAACGAGCAAAACTTGGACGTAACATAAAGTTCTTCAATTATTGGTTCTGTGTTCATACCTTGGGTTTTTCTGGATATTTTGGGTCCGAATTCCTGGTCTTATTGGTCGATTTCGTTTGGATTAATTCAGATTTGTTTTGGCAATTGATTATTTGGAACAACAAATACGATGGAAACACGGAGTAAAAGGCTGAAGGAAAATGACGAAATGGATGGTAACATTTCTAAAGCTGTTTGTGGTATGTCTGATGTTATTGATGATAAATGTGATGATGTTAGTCTTAATAGTATGTCCTCTAGCCAGCTAAGTACTTCCAGATTAAAGTTAGATAAGGCATTACTGAGGAAAAGGAATTTAGAGAAGAGACTTGAGTTAGAACGGCAACTTAAGATGTTAGATCTACAAGAAGAGGTTGATATCGCTGAACTAGAATGCAAGGCCATCGAGGACGATGGACGATTACCCGTAGATAAATGTGGGATAAATGCTAAAGTGGAAAATTATTTGAATCATGATACTGGTGTAATAATCATCCAGGGAAGGTCTGTAACATCTCAAATGTCGATTGGGTTGAGGAACTGAAGGACACGTTACATACCATGGTTAGTAACATGGTTTTACCTAAGATCGATATGATGTACTTTGATGGGCAACCAGGTCAGTATTACCGTTTCATTAGTCAGTTTAATAGCCTTATAGAGAGTAAATTGTCAGATAAGGGCCAATTGTTGTCGTATTTGTTATACTATTGTAAGGGAAAGGCTAGGACAGCTATTGAAGCCTGTATTTCATTGCCCATTCATTTGGGTTATGATAGAGCTAAACAGATTTTGTATGACCTGTTTGGTAAGGAACACCTTGTTGCTCGCGACATGATTACTGAGTTATTTAACCACAAATCTGTTGAAGGATCAGCCGATGGCTTAACTGACTTTGCAATTAAGCTACGTAATGTATGCATAACATTGAAGGAAATGGGGTATATGTCTGATATGAATTCTCCCGCTAATTTGGAAAGAATTGTGTCGTGTTTACCACTAGAATTACAGAATAAGTGGGTGGAAGTTGCCGATAAGATCATGATGACCGGAAGGGAGCCGATCTATGAAGAATTTGTGATCTTTGTAGAAGAAAGAGCCAGGATTTCTCGAACACGTTTCGGTAGATTGGCACATTGTAACTCAAAGTTCAGTAAAGGTAATTATGAAGGCAAAGTTGATAAAAGATCGCGTTTTAATGTAGTTAAGCTGGAACCAAGCAACTCATTCACCGCTCTCAGTTGCGGAATCTGCTTTGCTGATCACAAAGAGACAGATTGTACGAAGTTATTGAAAATGAATGTTACCGAAAGAAGACACGAAGTGAGAAGACGTGGTCTATGTTACCTGTGTTTAAGGAAGGGTCACATAGCGAAGTCATGCGACTCGGATATCAAGTGTGACGTTGGTAATTGCAAGGCTCTGCATAATTCATTGCTACATATTGATAGTATTAATAACCGTGTAGTGAACTTAGTAAAGGACTGGAACTCGTCGAAGGTTTGTTTGGGTTTTATTCCGGTCAGGCTGTATGGTCCAAATGGAACTTTAGAAACTTACGCCCTTCTTGATAGTGGATCGGATACTTCTCTTGTATGTGAAGAGATAATTAATCATTTGGGTCTCAAGGGTAAGGAGACTTCGATAAAGGTGACTACCGTGAATGGAACCACTACTTGTGAATGTCAGGAAGTAAATTTAGAGATATTTTCATTAGATGAACGGGGTTACGTGAAGATCAACAAGGCTTATACGACCAAGAAGCTTCCGATCGATTATGTTGAACCTTTAACCGAGGAACAGCTGGGTTCGTGGGAGCATTTGAAAGACATAGCCCTTCCGACGTTGCAAAGTAATCTAGTGGGAGTGTTGATTGGGTGTGACACTCCAAACGCACATTGGGTTCTGGAACAACGTCTGGGAGACCGGGAACATCCATTTGGTATGCGTACGCCCCTCGGTTGGATGGTTTTAGGTCCCAGGGAGTCTTATAGGTCCGTAAATACAGTACAGCGTTGTCATTCGCATGGTGTTTCACCGGATCTAGAAGGACTATATAGTCATGAGTTCGAGGAGGGAGAACATATTGGTAAACATGGTTCACTTGAATCAAAGGTCTATGTAACAGGGGAACTAAATGAAGAAATGTGTTTGGAAGATTCACTTAATAGACGGCAATACAATGTTAGTGTTGATGGGTCTCGTAATGAATCCTATGGAAAGGTGGTAGACACTTCATCTGTATTTACGAAGGATCTGATGTCTCTATTGAATTTACGTGACAACACTCTATGTGGTGACAGGTATTCTAAGAGATGGAAGCAAGCGAATTACTTGGCACAAGTATTTTGGAGGCGTTGGTCCAAAGAGTATGTTTCTCTGTCGCAGCGTATAAACAAGTTGCCCTTAGGTCTAGTACAAAGAGTGATATCAAGTAAGGATAGATTAATGAGACAGGTAGAACTGAGGACAAAAAAGGGTCTTCTATTGAGAGATATTCGAAAACTGTGTCTTCTTGAATCTGTAGATGGTAGGTAGCTACTCGGGTCCCTAGGCGTACTGGTGTAAGTCCTAGGGATCACGAGATTGTTGGTATATTGAATGCTTGTTGTTGATTGCTTGTGATGTATATACTTGGATTCCTGCTACCTATTTACTTGTTTGTGAAAAGAACCAAGGTTCTTTTGGTCGGGAGTGTTACGGGAGAACTGAAGACTTTTGACGGATTAAAACCTTTTATTGTACATTAATAATTTACTGTGCTTTTGGATGTAATTGTTTTACTTAACTTTTGAACTTGTTTGTTTATATCATTATTTCGGACATTTTGGTTTGGTATTTTGGTGCTCCTTTTGTCTTTGGTTTGGTATTTGGGAGTTTTGCTCCGGGAACCTACAAAATTGAAGGTTTGTTTTGTAATTGTTATAATTATTGTTATTAGAACGACATTTGGTCGATTACTTGTGAATTACGAATAAACTTGGTACCTGATTTGGAGTTTTGGTTCTTTTGCCTACTTGGGTTCGTAATTTGCAAGTAGATCGATAGTCCGTACTTCAATAACTGGAACGAGCAAAACTTAGACGTAACATCAGGCACTGAACACCAAGATAAGGGGTAGCTTTTTCTCACAACCAGTCTATTTTATCTCTAACGCCCATTTTACAGACTTGATAAAAGACTCTTCCTAAGTCCTTTCAAATAGATGCACAATAATCACGTTTCTATTCATAATGAGCGTTACTTAACGATACCACAAGATAAATTTATTTCACGTTGAAGATGTTACCTGGCCAGAAGGGCATTAGTTGAGACGAAGGTGTGGACATAGTCTTTTGCCTAAGAAACTTGAGTGCCTGTTACGTCATGGTTAAATATCAAGTAAGAGAACGAACGCGTGAAAAAATATATATATCCAGAAACACGAAAAAAATATCACAATATATCAAATTTAAAATAAAGCAGTGATGTACAGACTCACAGTTTGCGATTTGGCGTACCAGATCACGTCAGACTCAGCAATGAATATGACACAGGCATTCGAAGTTCGACAACGCTTTTACCAGTAACAAATTCTATTATGAATTGTACTCACCAAGTGAAATTAAAAGATAGGAGCGAGTAGGTTCGTAGATATATTTGATAGGCTATCAACATACCGTGAATCGACTGGTCAAATCTGACTAGTGATCGCAGGGGATGTTGAGCATGGCGTTCCCACTCGTGATCTGCTGCGGATGCATGACCTAGCGCCTTCAGCTAGGTGAGTCCATTAAAATTAATGTGGGCAGCGTCCAATGTTTAAGACTTACAGAGCTATTTATTTTGGGGATTTATTTACCGCTACAACATTCTTTGGTTTCGCTCTACCATATATTATGACTTGACTACTTTATCATAAGTATTATATTTACAGTAGTTCCAACACACTGAAATATTGTCTTAAGCCAGATTTGAGAAATAAAACTACAAAGCGGCTGTAAATCTGCTAGGACTTCTACGGATAACTGGTCACTGCGTACACTGACAGTTACTGATGGCCTGAAAGCGTGCCGTATAACCGGTGTGTACGTAGTTCATTGATTTTACTAGATGGCTCTGGTGATATTGGATTTCTGTACTTTTACAGAGTACGTCGTACTAACACCTGACAACACATTTTTAGGTAAACTGGATCTTTACAATTGTACATTACATGACTCCCA